ATTGCCTTAGATGTGGGCAGCAACTGCCTCTTTCCTCCGAGAAGAGAATGTTGCACATCTCAAAAAGTCCTATTGGACTAACCTACCAATGACGGATTTCTTTAACCCTTTTATTATCTACCTCATGTTAACAAAATAGCTCCTTCTAACCAGCTGAAAAACAGTTGCTTTTATTGAATGCTTTCACGACGAGTGTCACACATATGTGACGCCCAGATTTTGTTAATACTGACCCACGCAACAAATGCGTAAAATGTATTTTTGATCCATTTATGATAACTGCCTACATCAAATCATATCTTACGCTATTTCGCTCAGCCTACAACACTTGGACAGATGTTAAATGTTTTTGGTTTGCGGGTAGTTACATTTTTTTCAGTCGTTGTATAGCAGTTGAATTAGTCAAAGTACGTGTTTTCCATTTAAACAGCAGTACATTTGAGCTGTGCCGATCGTTCTCACCCTTAAGACCTGCCAGCCGAAGCTTTAGCTTTCCTTGTTTTATGCCTCACTGAGCCCTCCGCGTTCTCATTTTCACGAAGTGATTTTTGTGTGAAATGGATGCGAACGTTTCATGTGAACACATTTTAACTTGGCCTCTAGCAAAATGTTGCTTCATCTTTGAGGACTAAATTCGCCAGTAAGCTTTGTACCGCCATAATGCACTGCAACCTCAAGTAAAACGGCCAGGCTGATCTCGGACCCAGCAACCACCCCATGAGTTGTATTCCCCGTTAAAGAGAGTTAAAGACGTCCGCATTCGGAGTTTTTGATGTGGTTCATGAACCCACCTTTGGCCGGACATTTTCTCAAATGTAATTTAGTAAATGCTAAAAGTTACTGTCGGCTCATTTGTGATCTTCTTCATACTTCAGCGTATCGTCTCGTTTGTCCGATGACACTTTTCTGGGTGGTCTTCAAGTCGCATTTGTAGTTAAACTAGGTTGTGCCCTTTATTTGTCTCCTGCTCAGTAGCTAAGCCTTAGCAAGAACATTTTTTTCACCGACTCTTCACTTCCTACCTTGGCCCTCACAATAGAGCCTATTTTTACCTCTGTATGAATTATAAATGGACTTGAGGAGGGCGAAGAGATTGCTGTTGTTTAAGAAGCAGGGCTTGACGCCGAAATCTTTTTCAATTATTTAAAACAACAACAATAACCAATGGACCATTGTGCCGAATCAGGCTCATAGAGCTTTGCTGCAAAGTTCACCAAAGCGCATTTATATTATGCCTTCTGTTTAAAAAGGGTGCTGTTAATTGTTTTTGCAGTTGTTTAGGATGCAAATCAGATGCACCATTACCGGAACGGTATCCTGTCAGGCACCAGCACATGACCAGGAGCATTTTTTTTATTATCATCAACTTTTATCTGCTATAATTTTGTTGTCAACAATTTACACTTGTTTATAACAACAGAATGCGGGGATTTTTTTACTTGATGTAGCAACCAGAGACGTCCTTAGGAATGACTGAAAGCATAATATGTATTGTTAAAGGAGAGAAGGGCTGGGGCTACTGACACGGCCTGTTGGACATTCCATCCAGCGGTAGTACAATTATGGCGACTTAAGTGCCCACAAAACCAAAACGAATATTTAAACAGAACTTCCTTTTCCTTAAGGACCCACTCTCGGCGCTCTCCTTGGTCAACCTCCTGCGTCGGCCGTCACAACGCGATTGGTGCAGTAAGAAAACACCCACGAGCCAACTGTGCTAGTCATTGTATTTCCATGCAACTTAGAGGATATTTAACTACAATATTACTGATCCTCTTTAGCAATTCCTATAAACCTGGAGTCTCATTCTGTTCGGTAACTGTATTGGGGAGAGGAAGAATATCCAGGTCAACTCTTATGTCCATTGCTAGCCAAAAGAGTACACTGGTTTTAAAGTAGAGTAATTCAATAATTCAAAATAGTTTCGTTAAACACGGACTTGCATCTGTTCCTCCTTGCCACTCTGTGTCAACTTCAATGCTGCCCAGTCATATCTATCTGTTATGGTTATGTTATCAGAAAAGGGGAATTTAGTCTTGCAAGAAGTTTTGACCTGCTATGACTTCTCCAAAATCCAGAAAGTCCCCACCTGTATGTAGTCCATAGCCCCGTATGAGGATAGCTCAAGAGGTGAGGGACAATTTCTAAAAAATTGCCTCAGACTTTGAGTAGCCAAAGCC